AAAGAAACACTTGTAAACTGTTTCTTTTTATCTTTCAACAAAATCAGAAGATGACTATCCAGGTGTCTTTAAGATGTAGGGGCTCAACAGGGCGCTGTCAGCCAGAACTCGACTGGGACTTCCTTTGTAGTCAGAGGAAGCAGGTAGGCACAAGAAAATAATTTTAGGAATTGGAAGCCCTCCCATGCTATGCATGAAATATCTATGGTAATGCTTTGGTTTATTTCTTGGATTAAGAATTAGACATTTTGAGAATTTTTATTTGTCTAAATTGTGTATATTTGATTTCTGAATAGGTAATACATAAACATGGTGGAAAATCCAAACATTATATAGAAGTGTTTAGCAAACAGTCTTCAATCTACCTCATCTCAGCCAACTAGTCCTTCCTACTATATGCAAATGCTATTTCCTCTCCCTTAAACATTTTTCCAGAAGTATTTTATGCTTATACAATCAAATGCATACATACATAGTTGTGTAATTCCCTTATGATTTCTTCAAATACTACTATACTTTTATTTGTTTACTTATTTATGTATTTAAATGTAAATGCTTGCTTTATTTGGGACTTAATCTGGATAAAATTATTTCCATGTAGATTTTCAACATAGTTTATTAAATAACCGAACGTTCCCCTTTCAATTTAGAAACCTGCTTTATCATATACTAAATTCCTGTCCGTATTTGGATCTGTTTCTACATTTTTCCATTCCATCCCTTTTATGTATCTCTATTTTACATGAACAAAACTGACATTGTTTTAATGGGTTAATATTTATATTATGTTTTAACATCTGCTCGAGCTAATTATTTCTCAATATTCTTCCCTCTTCTTATGTTCTCAGACTATTCCTGTTCGTATGAACTTGATATCATCTTGCATATGCTTTTGGTAATTTAGTTGCCATCATGTTAAATTTAAAGATTATCTTATGTAAAACTGTTATTTTTATCATGTTGACCCTTTCCGTTAAAAAAAAAAATCTGATGTGAGTTTCCACTAGTCTTACTTACAGGAAAATTTTTAAGTTTTACCCGTATGGGTCTTACATATTTCTTAATACATTTATTCCTAATATATTTCAACATATTTTCCTATTGAAAATGGACACATGTTTTATTATATCTTTTGACTTTTTTTTTTTGAGGGAAATTAGCCCTGAGTTAACATCTGCTGCCAGTCCTCTTTTTGCTGAGGAAGACGGGCCCTGAGCTAACATCTGTTCCCATCTTCCTCCATTTTATGTGGGATGCCTGCCACAGCATGACTTAAGTGGTGCATAGGTCTGCACTCGGCATCCGAACCAGCGAACCCCGGGCCCAAAGCAGACCGTGCAAACTTAACCTCTGTACCATGGGGCCGGCACCGCATATATTTTATTATGTCTTTTAAACAGTTGCTGTTTTAATACAGGATCGTTATAGATTTCTGTGCAACAAGTTAATATCTACTCGCCTTGTGGAATTCTATTTTTTATTGATTTTCAGTAATAGTTTTCTTTTTTTTATGTAAAATTTTAGTGTCTAAAAGTAGAGATAATTCTGTACTGTTCTTCTTTCCCTGCTTTTAACTGCAATGGTAGTACCCTAAGGACAATGCTAGCTAATAGTAGTGACAATGGACATCTTACTTTGCTTCTAATTTTTCGAAAAAATTTTCAGTGTTTCCCATTACGCATGGTGCTGGCTTTGAATTTAGTTGAATAATCATGTTATTCATATCATCCTATTTTATTAAGATTTTTGAAATAATGAATGGATGATTAATATTGCCAATTTCTGTTAATGATCTATGGGAGTTGCCTATTTTTTCTCTTTAAATTATTAATATGTTTAATTGTTTAAGTAGATTTTTTTTTTTACCATTTTTGTATTTCTAGAAGAAAATCCCATTTGGTATTGTTGTATTAGTCTTTTTAATGTGCTGCTGGTTTCTGTTTGTTAATATTTTACTTAAAATTTATCATCATTGCCATGGTGAGATTTGTCTACATTATTTTTTCTTGCAATATTTATTCCTATTGCTGTTGTTTTTAAATTTTTATCCTTGCTTCACATTAAGAATTTAGAAGCTTTCTTTTTATGTGCTTTGGAAAAAATTTAAATAGCATTAACTTGTCTGGTCTTGAGAGCTGCTGTCTTAGCCTAGTGTTTTTTGAGAAGTAGCTCTTTAACACCTTTTTCTTTTCTGTGGCTGCCTTTTCTGATTTTCTATATCTTTAGACTAAGTTTTGATAAATATAAATTTCTCTCCAGGTCCAGATAGGTTTTCTTATAAATTCTATCAAATATTTAAGGATGAAAAATGTCAGTAATGCACCAACTCAGAAAACAGGAATGGTAGGGACCCTTCCCAACTCATTTTACATAAAGATATAACATTAATTGTGCCATTTAGATCATCTGTATCCATAGGTTTTTAAAAATATTCATTTGATCTGTCATAGACTGAGACATTAGGGAATTAGAATATTTTACTAATTTATTTCTCTTTGGTTATCATATATTTTTAACTCCTATAATCTTTGCTTTATCATTGTTGATGCTGTTTATTTGGTTACTATGTCTGTTACTTCTTTGTAAATTTCACTCTTAAATTGTTGAAAGTGTTCTTCTATGATTTACTTAACGTCTTTTAAATGAATTTATCTCTATTTGATATAAAGTTCACACCCACTGTTCTTTTTTGGTTTTTTGTTTGCATTTTACTAACATTTCTTACAAATCTTTCTATTTGCTTTTTCCAACTTACTTTGCTTTCAATTGTGTCTTATAAATAACGAAAACAGACTTTTTTTTTTATTTGTAAGGTACTGTGAATGGCTTTTCCTTTTACTAAGTGAATAAAAGCCATTTGCATTTACTGATACGGCATATATGTTTGAGTTATCTCAAATTATTTTATGATCTGTTTTCTGTTTTGATAACTTGTAAAAATCTTTGATCTGACTGTGTTTTGTTTTTGAATATGCATTTCCCTTGATATATTTATTTTTGACACAGTGGTTATTTTTATAACCATAATATCATATAATCTCCTGCATGATCTATTTCTTTGGCAATATTTATTAATTCTTTATCACACCACATATCTTGTTTGCCTCTCCAGATCCACTTTCCATATTTTACTCCTTATTTTTGGTCCAAAAGTCTGAACCTTATGGACCATATCAATAAATTTCTATGACCTCTGGTTTCTAGTTGGCCTCAGACAATGATGAGCCCTGGCAATAAATAGGATGGAGGAAGAAGAGAAAGGCTGTGTCCCTTGACCTACCATCACTGTCTCTCTTATGGTGACCAATTCCACGTAACTCTCTGTACCGCTTCCCTCATTCTTTTTGGGCTAGGGGCATAACCCTGGTTCTTGCTCTGTTCCTTCTTATTTCACTAAAACCACACTTTGGAAATTATTCCTTGAAAATAAACTTACTTCAAATTCTCCTATTTTCAGCACACCATCCTGACTTTCCTGTTGGGCCCCTGACTGATACGCCTATTATAAGCAATGATAAAATTAGCATAATTCCTTTTCTATTCTCTCTTTCCCTCTCCCCTGATGCCAGATTTTAACTAAGTATGATTTTTCTGAATGCCTATCAATGTGCTGACAACTGTACTTGAAATTCTATTACTTGAACAGTAACTTCGAACTTACAAATTCTGATTTCCTGGTATTAAAAATGAAGAACTCTGCCCATTTATGCTACCACTCACATTTCACCCCCCACTGCCCCACACCCTGCCAAATGTTTGTTTATGTTTTCCACACAAGGTGTATGTTTATATACTGTTTTAATAAACTAAATCATCATATTTTGTTATCTTGCAGTCTTTTAAATAAATTTAATGCTTACTGCCAAATAGTTTACTCTAGTTTTATAATTATCTTTTGGTTGGCTGGAGTTCCACCTCCAGTACATTTCTTAAATTACTGTTTAGAAGGGTTGCCAGATAAAATAAAAGATGACTAGTTACATTTTGAACTTAAGATAAACAACAATTTTTTTTTTTTTTTTTTAGTATAAGTATGTCCCAAGTATTGCATGAGGCATTTTTATTTGCTAAATCTGGCAAACTCATGTCTGGCATGTAACTACTGAGTAACACTCTAAGTTAGTGTTAGCTATTTATAATTTGAGTCTGTGACAATTATGGTCTATGTTTTGATGGCAATTATTTAGTTTTAGATTTTCCTGGAACGCAGGGTGTACTTTCAACATGTTATTTAAATTTTCTTTTATTTCCAGTATTATTTTCTTCAATTATATACTTGTTGAGTAGTAGATTAAAGATGGCTGTAAACTCTTTGCCATCCTGTGCCAAAATTGAGTGGTGGGAATATTATCCTTCTTGTTGCATCTGGGCTGGCTCTGTGTCTGTCTTTGACCAACAGAATGTGATGGAAGAGATGCTGTACTACTTCTGGGGCCAGGCCTCAAGAAATCTGCAGCTTCTACTTTCACCCCTCATGGAACTCTCTCGTGGAAGCCAGGCGCTATGGATAAGTCAGCCTCGCCTGGGATGAAGCCCACGTTAGCCACGTAGAAAGATACGGCACGTGTAAGAGCCAAATGCTCTTGGAACTTCTAACCCAACTGAGATACCAGTCGATTGCAGTTGACAGGACAGGGAGCAAACGAAGTGTGCAGCACAGCCCTTCCTCATCCACAGAATCGAAGCAAGTAAAATGGCTCTTGTTTTAAGCCACTACATTTTAGGGCAGTTTGTAATGCAGTAATAAAATTATTATTTCAGATTTTTAAAATTTGGCTATTCAGTTTTCTAAATGTGTGATATCCTTTTTCTCTATTCTATAGCCAGAATTTTCTCTTTAATTCTTCTAAGCATTTCTGTATTTAACATTATTGTTTTATTTTGTTTGCTGTATCTTTTTTCGTTTCTGTATTTTATGATCATGACTGTGTATTGTCTTTTTCTTCTTGCAGTCCTTTCAAGTTTACCTTAATTTCTCTAATGGCTTTATTGTATATTTATCTTACACCTCTACCCTGAACAACGCCTACTCCTTGTTAAGTTATTATGTCTGTTGGAAATCACTTTCTGCAACTGTTGCATTTTGTGCTTTTGTGCTTTGTTTCAGAGAATCAATAGCTTGGTTGATTGTTTTTTAACCCCCAATGAAATTTCGCCACAATTTTCATCTTCTAGGTTTTCTTCCTTTTCTTATAGTGCAGCCGTGAAGATTTTCTGCTGTTTCCTTTTTGATGAATCATTTAAGTCATAGGTGAGTATTTTTCCCCTCTCAGATATTTCCTACATATTTGTTCAAAGGAAGGTTGGTTTGCAGGAATTTCCTTTACTGCCAAGGGTTTTGTGTGTGAAATCATGTGATCTTTACTTCTTGCCATCTAATGGCGTTGGGAAGTTCTGGGATGTTTCTCGATGCAATGGCTTCCTTCTCCCTTGAAGCCACTGAGGCAGACTGCTTCAGAAAAACAGGACTCGTCAGTCTGACTTTTATTTAGCTCTATTTACTATGCTTCTCAGGGTCTAAACTTGAGCAGGAACATTTCAGATTCCAGCATATGTACACTATTTCTGCTCTTATGAAGAGAGACCTTAGGGGTTATGCTTCAGGATGTTTCTTTCATCTGTGAGAAGTGTTGGTTGCTGGTTTGTCTGTTACCAGAAGCCTCAGTGTTTGCTGTCCTGGTCCTCCCCAAACCCATCTGCTTGTTTCCACTGCGCGTGGCAGCGTTTCCTCCATTTGCCTAAGAGGTTTCGATCTGTCTCCTTGTTACATAGCTAAAGGAGAATGTAGTTTTTAAAAATTCTTCTTGTTGCTTCTCGGTAATTCCTAAAAAGAGAAGTAGAAATTGTCAAATTACTATCATTTCTTCAAATGCTACTCTCTATAGAAACTTTTAAGTTTGTCATGTTTTGTATTTGTTTTTATTTAGTGGCATATCAAAGGTATAGAAGAGGACATAAAGTGTAAAGTAGATAAATATTTAAAAATACAATAAAATTAACACTATTTATCGAACATCAGCAAGAGAAAGGTAAGAAAGTGACTAGTACATAAGTTCCATGTAGCTCCTCCATGAACAAATCCCTCTTCATCCTTCTGTTGCTTCTCTTCATAAGTTTACCATTTACATCACGTTCTAACATGACATTTTTGAAAATGCGTTTTTTTCACTTTGTATAAATGAATATATAAAACATACTCCTTTGTGACTTGTATATTTTGTGCCTCATTATCCTTTTGAGAATCACCCATGATGACATGTGCATCTGTAGATCATTCTTTTTTATTGCTGCAATGTATTTCTTTGTATGAATGCACAACAGTGTACCTATTCTGCTCTTAATAGGCAATGGATTGCTTCCAGTTTTAGCTAGTATGAATAGTGCAGATATGAACATGCTTCCTATAGCACATAAACATATTTGCCAAAGAATGCACATAGGTATGAAATTGTTAAATGAAGATTAGGCTTATCTTCATATTTATAGGGTAATACCAAATAATATTCTAAAGAGATTGTAACAATTTATATTACTATAAATAGTGTATGAGAGTTTCTATTGTCCTACAACTTAGCCATCCTGTATTCTTATCCAAATTTATTTATTTATTGCCAATATGTTGGGTATCATTGTGATTTTAATTCACATTTACCTGACTTCTAATGAGGTTGAGCATTGTTTTCATATATATATATATATATTACCATTAACATTTCTTAATCTTTAAAGTACACTTTTACCATTTTATCTTTTTGTTCTTTTTTTTTACATCTGTGTAAAATTGCTGTGTATATTCTGCTTACTAATTTGTTGTAAATTATATGATTTCTAAAATCGTTCTCCCTGTTTGTGGTTTACCTCTCTATACTCACTGTGATTTATTTTGGTGAAAAGACATTTTTAACTTTAAGATGGTCAAATTGAGCACTATTTCTCATTTCATAATCCTTTTAAAGAAATTTGCTCCTACCCTGCCACCTTAAAGATATCTTATAATGATTTCCAAAGGCTTTATAGTTTTCTCTTCCATCATTCTTTCAATCACCTGGAATTTATCTTGTTTATATGGTTTGAGGTAGGGATTTAATTAATTGATTTTTTCTGCAAGGATAACCAGGTTTCCTAGCAACAAGTATTGAAGAACTCTTATTTCCAAAGTAATCATCAATGATTTTTCAGTTTTATATCAAATTTCCATACATATGTGAGTCTATTTCTGAGATCTCTATTATCTCTTCTTTGATCATTTATCTATCATGGATCAATATCACACTATCTTAAAAACTACTGCTAGAACATGCCCCATGCCTTTTCCTCTGAATGTGTATCTTGCTCATAATTGGCTCCTATCAATATAAATTATAAAATTATGTTTAGGTTTACATTTTCAAAGAGTTATTGGGATTGCAATCTACTTTATTGGTCAACTTAGGAAAATCGATAATTTAAGATGAGCATTTTGATCGCTAAACATAGCATATAACTACATTTATTTACCACACCTTTAATATTTTTCAGAAAAGTTTTATAATTCACTCTAATGTATTTGCTGATTTCTTTTCTTCATATTCATTTTTTGACCTTTAACATTTTTACAAAATGAACACACCTGCATATAATGTACCAGATCAAGAAAGAGTATATGCGGTTGTTAAATTTAAGTACATTTAGGAAATCTTTAAAGAACGATGTCTCACCATTTCATCTAGTTTGAAGTAGTGGTACATTAGCTTATAATTAGAAGCTCTTTTATGAAACCTATTCATTTGGGAAATGTTCTAAACATGATGCTGAAGGATTTCCATTAAAACAGCTCCATGAAACATTGATTGTTGTTGGCTCTACTGGCCTGAGGACCTTGAACTCTCCTAATATCTGTTGCCATGTTACTTGGTCAGGCCGTTTAGTATCTCGGTGCCTCACTTCCTGTGTCTACAAAAGAGTGATAAGATTTTCTCTAGCAGGCAAATAGAGTTGCTACTAAAATTCAAGACTATAATAATGTACATAAAAACTCCTTAAATAACATAATTACACTATAAATGAGGTTGATAATTTGTTGTGCTTGAATTTTGGTATTATAAATAAACTATTAATGAGTGAGTAAAATAATGGGAAATATACAGCAAGCAGTTTTTTAAAGATATGATTATTTACAGTCAAATGAGTATATCTTGAGGATACAGTTGGATGCGTATTAACAAATGTACACATTCCCTTAACTAACACCCCAATCGAGATAGAGAACATTTCTATCGTGCTAGAAAATGCCCTAAGACCCAGAGAATCCACTCCAAGTTATATATTCAAGAAAAATTAAATCATCTATCCCCAAAAATAGCTACACAAGAATTCTATGCAAGCATTACTCATAATAGCCAAGAACTATAAACAACCAAATGTCCAATAACGTGAGAATGTACAGACAAATCATGACATATTCATACAATAAAACACCATTCAGTAATAAAAAGGAACTAAACATCAATACATGGAACAGCATGAGTGAATCCCTTAAACGTTGAAAGAAGCCAATCCCAGAGAAACGATTCCATATGATCAAGTCTTGAGGTTCTAAATATCAAATAATGAAGATGCCCAACTCTCTACAGCAAAGAGATTAATACATAGAAATAAATGGTCTGACTCATAGGAAGAAAGGGAGGAGGTATCTGAGCACATGTAATTTTGTTTATTTTCCCCTCTAAACATAAGAATCTTCTCTATTTCAATATGCTGCTTTTTATGACTTTGGGTATATTTTTCTGTTGAAAATTATTAAAACGTTTGAGGTTATAAGGGCTAAGAAAAATTGTGTTAAATATTAAATGCTCCTTGAAAGAAAAACACAAATAATCTCCAAACCAAATGAATAATTCAACTCAGATCCTTCAACTTTTTGAAGTGTAAACAATATGTAATAATAAAATGTATTATTGAGTGGCTGCTACATGAATTTTGAATAAAAATAATTTTATAAGGGTTTTCACTATACAATATTCACCATAAATATCCCAAAAAGAGTCTCTTGGGGATGTTTTTCATATATATTTCATTGTGACATGGTACAGATTTTGTCAGAATTTATGTGACACAGTGTCTGGGCTTTCTTGGTAATTTTTATGGATTGTGATGTGACTATATATATGGACAAAATTAACACTACTTACCGCTCACTTGATAGATTAATGACTCCTCTGTAATTTCTATGCTCCATTTTATACTGAAAATTCATGAAGAGTCTCTGACAAAGATGCTGATGCCAATAGGCACTATTAAAAATGTTATGAGAGAAGTAAAAAATGTGCTGCCTTCGCATAAAAACAAGTTGCAAGTTGCATTTGTGCAACTTTGTGGATAGTTTAAGAAGTTGATGATGTGGTACCCTTGACACACAAACATGTTGCTCCTTAGTCATAATTTGGTTAATTGACTGAGCTCTGTCTTATTCAGTGGAGATTGCAGAATATTCATATTGGAAGGTATGCAAAGGATCATCTAAGAATCTTCTTGGAGAATCTTACCTACATTGTGCTGCTGCTCCTCAAGTCATAACCTGCTTCTCTCTCTGTTTCTCAGGCTTTTTAATATTAATTTTTATTATATTTTTATTTTTTCTTGCTAGACTTAGCAGAAGTGAAAGTAAATGCTGATGGTGGTGGCTGACATCACCACTCTTATTTTTCACTGTGGAGACTTCAAAAATAGGAGATATCTTCCACTGATATAAAAGGATTGTTTATAGCACTTGAATACCCTCAGAAGTATTTTATAGAAAGGATAAGCATCTCTAATTATCTGTAACTAGGCAGAATTGGTTTCTGAGGAACTATTTATACAGAGACACATCCTAAAGAATTCTGATATGGAATCTGTCCTTATAATCCTTCGATTCTTTTAGGTGTGTTTATCTATCTCCCCTCCAGAGCTGTGCTTTCTCTCAGGGTGAGCGTAAATCTGATTGTAAAGCTACACATTTAGATAAACCAAAGTAGCATGTTTCTTCCTAGTTTGTCTTCAGTAGCCTTCCTGTAAAGGCCCAGTACTTTGAGGTCATTAGCATGTGAAGAAAATATCTTCAGGACCCTTTTCCATTATTTTCAAATCTCTTCCACTGATATTTTAGTGATCACTTAGAGGTTCATTACCTCATAGATTTTTTTTTCTTATCTTGCTATTGATATTTGTGTGTCAATTTTCTCTCATTCAAAAAGCTTTGTGATGTTATCCCGTGGTGCATTACCATCAAATTGAATGCCTAGAGCAGCATTCATTTTTCAGAGATATTCATTTGTGAATTAAACATGTGTTAACACAATGTTTTGTGGATTGTATTTACTCATCTGTATTTTTATAGGTTTTGCATGACTGTCATAAAAGTTTTTTGCATAAAGTTTGAATTTGTATATCATATTTATTTTATTCTCTGTAATCAAGTCCTTCTAACATTTTGCATTATCACTCACAGTACACTAAGGCAATGATAATATTAGTACACTGGGAGTAAACACATAAGGCTGCTTCCAGTAAACTGTCTAGGGGCTTCAGCCACCTGGAGGCTGGGGTGTCAAGAATCAATATCTTGAGCCAGGCACTATTCTTCATGCTGGAAACATAGCAGTGAACTACACAGGCAAGGTTCCTGTCTTTGTTGTGTTTACATTGTGAAGGTGGGTAACACACTATGAAAAATTTCTAATGTCTATAAGTGTAAACAGGGAAAAGTGATAAAGAGAGATGGGACAAGGAGATAAGAAGTGCCATTTTGGGTAGGGTCATCTGAAGAGATTCTCTGTGAAGATGGCTTTTGAAAAGATCAAGAACTAAACTAAGTGAGGGAATGGGGATTTTGGGGAAAATGTGAGAGAAGGGCATTTCAATCAGAGGGAACAGTAAGTACAAAAGTTTAAGAGTGTTAACAGAGAAGTTTGAGAAATGGAGAGAAGACCATGGTGGCGGAAGTGGAACGGGATGAGGTGAGTGGGAAGAGTTGGGGTTAGAGAGGGAGGCAATGACAAATTATGTGGCACCTTCTTAACCACGGTGAGAAGTTAGGATTTTATTCTCAGTGAGGTGGAAAATAATTACTGGTTTTTGACCAGAGGAGTTACATGATTTGACTTATATTTTAAAAGAGTCATTTTGGCTTCTATGGGAAGAATAGAAGACATGGAGACAAAAGACAGATCCGGGAGCCAGTTACAAAGTTATAGCAACAGTTCCAACAGGAGATCTTGGTGACTTGGTCTAGAGAGTCTAGTGTTTTTGTGGTAGAGGTGGCAAGATATGATCAGATTCTAGATATAGTTTGAAGGCTGAACCATTGAGATTTCATGGTGGATAGGTTATTATCTCTTTTATCTATGAGGAAAAATATTTATAAAAGTTAAATAACCAGAAGCAAAGGATGGAAAAGTATAACACTAAGAATGTTGGTAATGTTTGAGTAGATCTTTATTTGGGTAGAGGACTTATGAGTTGTCCTTTTAAAATCATGCTTTAAAATTTAGGTAAATATTAAGTGTATCTCTTTTTATATGCCTCAGAACTTACATAAATATTATGTGTATCTTTTTATGTGTATAACATAGCACATAGAACTTAATATTTTAAAAGGTGAGCATCTTCCTTATGATTTCCAAGCTAGTATGTAGCCCTAGCTAGATGGAGAAAAGTAGAAAGTGAATATGGAGAGTAAATGGAAATTATCTAGCACATCTCACCCCGTTCCCTTCAGTATCCACTCATCCTTGATTGATACTGGTAAAAGTTTACATATCCAACACAGGGGGCGCACAAAGTCACATCATTACCATAGCATCATGGAGTGATACCAATTTAGTCATACTTCCATCTAAAACTGAAAATCTTAGCTGCCCTGTTCGTATAATGGAAAAAAATGAAGGAACATAAAACAATAAATTAACATAAATCATAGCTGCTGCCATATTAGCTATGGCTACCATTTCTAAAGCTGGTAGTGAGGTACTCCGCCTAAGCAGTCATTCTCATACTTTCCCAACAGTCATTCCATATTGCCCCTACCATCTGCCAGCATATCAACTGCAGGGTGTTTCTTACCTGTCGGGTGACACAGCACTTCATTCCTGCAGGATTTGAGTCATTGGTGGTCTTGTCTTTATTGAGTTGCTGCAGTTTCCCATTTATCACGACTATTGGAGAAAAGAAGACTATGAATTCCATGGGATTCAAACAGTATTGCATGTGTCCATTAAACAGCACCAATGCAATTGGCCCTGGTAATCATGATCAATCATCCTGATCAGTAAAATGATACCCTTCTCTGAATGCTAGTTTACCATTATATAGAAGCTAAAATGGCCAGTAATAGTAGCAGCATCCAAATCACTTGAACCATGATGATATATGGTAACGAAACATTCTTCTGTTGGGCTTTAGGATCTCTAAATGCATTGAGCTCAAGGTCACATCAGATTCTTCAACTGCGTTAGTGGAGTAACTGGAAGAAAAATCAGTCCTACCTTCTTCTTTTGGTGCCTGGGCTCATATGGAGAAAGCTGAACCATCTCTTGGCTTCTGTTTTAAGAGATACACTGTATCCTGTAAAACAGTACCCTGACTCCATAGGGTTATCTATATGCTGGTGCCATAGGTGAACCTTCAGTAGTACATTTCCTTGTTCTGTCAAACCAAAGGCTGTGAATAATAGGATATGCTTTAAGGATAATGAATTCTGTGGACCTTATCCCATTGCTTCTTCTTTTTCCTTAAAATCCATCCTTCAACTAATATATTATTAGCCAGAGAAGTCAAAGCATACCCAGTTTTCACTCAACCCTTGTATATTGAACTTCTAAAATTAAATGTGCTGTGCTATTTGCCCCAAGATGTGTTTTTGCCACTTTAATTCCACTTTAATTAATAGTGCACATGGCCTGCATGACTAGTAATGGCATGTAACAACAGCAAATTTACCCTAAGTCTGTTGCTTTACAGCTTAAGTAATTTGGCCTAAGTATATTAGCACAAAAGCCACTAAAGCGTGGGACTTTAGGTCAATTGTTTTAAAATCCTTAGTTATTAAGTAACTAAGGGAGTTTTTTTTTGTTTTTTAAGAAAGGTCAAGGAGGAAAGTTGGATCATACTTCTAATTCAACACAGGAATTGAATCTGAATGCTCTAGACCACGTCGATGTTGCTTGTGCTCGGTTTCAAAGCATTTTAGTAGTTGTGTTCCTCCATCTTCCTTTGCTTTTCTCTCTTAGAGTTTGAAGAGATTTAATGTTAGTAATGTAGGTTTTGGTTGCAAAGACAATAGTGACAGCCCTTACTTTCAACTGTGGGCTGATCTGAATGATATTCCTTACACTTTCCTATAAATGTCCCTTTGTTGATGAAGAGCATTAAAAAATGAGAGTATTTTCCTTGAGTGATTTGCAGGATCTTACTGTAGGCATCAAACATATGAAGGAATGCCAGTGAAAAGTTTAGGAAATAGCCCATACCAAGCTTGGATGCTGTGTGAATTGAAGTAGTCTTTTCACAAATACTTAATATCACAACATGCTAGGTGAAGAACCATAAGTGTTATTTGGATCTTTGCATTGTATAGGTGTCACAAGGACAAAAACAATAATGTATTTATAAATCCTCCCTTTAAGGATTGCAGATAAAATACAGCACACTAGTTAAATTCTAATTCCAGATAAACAACAAATATTTTTTTACTGTAAGTATGTCTAAAATATTTCTTTTCTTTTCTTTTTTTTCTTTTTGAGGAAAACTAGCCCTGAGCTAACAATGGCCAATCTCCCTCTTTTCCTGAGGAAGACTGTCCCTGAGCTAACATCCATGCCCATCTTCCTCTACTTTATACGTGGGACGCCTACCACAGCATGGCTTTTGCCAAGCGATGCCATGTCCGCACAGGGGATCCAAACCGGCAAACCCTGGGCCACCAAGAAGCAGAATATGTGAACTTAACTGCTGCGCCACTGGGCCAGCTCCTAAAATATTTCCTTGAGACATTCTTTTTTTGTTTTGTTTTGGTGAGGAAGATTAGCCCTGAGCTACCATCTGTGCCAGGTTTCCTCTATTTTGTATGTGGGATGCTTCCACAGCATGGCTAGATAAGCGGTGTGTAGATCTGCACCTGGGATCTGAACCAGCAAACCCCAGGCTGTCGAAGCGGAGCATTGAACTTAACTACTATGCCACCAGGCTGGCCTCTTTGAGACATTATTCTACTAAAAAAACCCACGTGTTTTTATTTTCATCTGAAATTCATATTTGATTGAGTCTCCTGCATTTTTGTTTGTAAAATCTGGCAACTCTATGTGCCTTCCCCTAAGACCTCCCAGGAAAATTCTTTTCCTGATATACTGAACTTTTGGGATTTTATTGTTCTGGCTGGGGTATTGGTTAAGAAGAGACTAATTGATTGATCAAAGAGGATACATTCGTTTAGAGTAGAAAGAATGTGAAGATGCTTTCTGAAGGACAAAATAGATCTGAGACGTGAGGGTGGGAGCAAGAATGAGAGGAGTGGGGTAGAGATAGAGTGTAATGGTGGGTTGAAGCTTTGGCAGTCGGAAGAGAGATTGGGGAGTTGGTGCCAAATTATGAGAGGGGTTCAGAATAGAACCGGGCAAAGACGATTTTTAGAAAGTTTTGCTCTTTGTTATAAAACTTAATTTTTCTTTGGTGTCTCCTCAGTAGCCTTCAGGAAATACATTACTAGGGGTCTTTTGTTTGTTCATTTGTTTGTTTTTGGTGTGCGTGTGTGTGTGTGTGTGTGTGAGTCTCTGTGTGTGAATAAGCTGTTGGTTTTAGTTTCTTTAAGTTTTGACGTCTAGCTGGAATTAGCCAACTGATGGCCCAGTTTAATTTAGGTTACATCAGAGTACAGTGCACATTGATCATTCCCAGAGCACGTGGGCAATCCTGTCAGAGGCCAAAAATACTTCCATGTAGCTTTCAATAAAATTGGTAAACAGCAATTTAATGTTGACTGAAGAGTTTTGAGTGGTCTGCCAAGTAGGGAAAAATCTCTTTCTGAACAGGAGCTATAAAACAGACTAGTGTCAATTTGTAAATTTAGGAAGTCGTTTCCGTGAAAGATTCTTGTTGGGGGTGTGTTATGTCTAGTTCTTACAGACCTACTTGTCAGTTCAATAGTTCTGCTTGAGGGATTCCCATTAAGCCCTTGAGTTACAGGCCCATGTCTGACTGCCCCTAATTATAACTGCAAAATGAGCTGTAGCTAACAATGTCATTTAGTTCCCCATTAGCATTTATATCATTGGTGTAGAGTTTTGAGTTCCTGCCTTTGTGAGGACACTTGAAATTTCAAAGCAGATTGTAAACTAAGAAATGACCAATACTAGCACTACTTTTCAGGCTGGTAGTATAAATCAGTATGTCTTTGTGGATTAAACAAAAATAGGATTTGCTGTGGAGCCAGGCCAGTGGTGTAGTGGTTAAGTTTGCATGTTCCACTTGGGCGACCTGGAGTTCATAGGCTGGGATTCCAGGGGCAGACCTATGTACCATTCATCAAGCCAAGCTGTGGTGGCATCCCTCAGACAAAACAGAGGAAGACTGGCACAGATGTTAGCTCAGGGCCAATACTTCTCACCAAAAAAAAAAAAAAAGGTAGAATTTGTGAAGACTAAGAATATATTGATTTAATGTAAAAGGCCCAGTTTTAAAAGAGAGAGGAAAAAGTAATGAGAATAATATCACAAGCATTCATACACCCACACATCCACAATCTTTAAAAAAGGTTAACACTGCTGCTTTAGATAGTTTTTTGGTAAAAGATATAAAGTGGATAAATGTATGATATTGAAGTAACCTTAGCTACCATCTCCCCGTGGGACCTCTACCATCAAGATTTTGGTATATATCCTTCCAACTTATGTTTTGCTTGTATATATAACTGGTAAGTTGGACAGCATGAATATGCGGAATTTAATCATGAAGCAACTTCGTGTGTCTCTCTTGTTCCTTTAAACTGATGTTCTGGATGTTTACTCTTCCCAAGTAATAAGCAAAAATTCCAGTAGTCTATGACATTTCTGGCTGCCCTTGGCTAATGAAGAATCATATGGTTACTTAGAGGTACTTAATATTGCCTCAATTTGGTATTTAAAGTTTTGGGTCCCATGGGATCATTAGAGTCTCATGTAATAGTCAAAAATCTAAATTTGATTTAATGTCAAAACTTCTCCCCATCTCTGGCTTGGGCCAAATGCATGAACAAAGTCTGAGGTTGGGATGAGGTGTACATGGTCTTCTGCTTCTCTCTCCCTGCCTTAATTTCCACAGGGCTTTACTTGGCTTCCTAACCCTGTTTCAGGGCTCCCAGAATTGAAGAAGGTTGGGTAGCAAGGAGGTGTAAGGGGATGAAGAAAGTTCTGACTTAACTGATAAAGGTCTATGTCAGTCAAGGTGCTGGCAGGAAACAGGTAACACTTCCAAAAGGGGTGACTGCCAAGAGTTTAATGAAGAGAGTGTTTTCAAAGGAAAGTTGAAACACCCAATGGCTAGTTAGCGTAGAAAGACACCACCGTACCTAAGGTCACCCATCAACAGCTTTAGCCTTAGGTGGAGGAATACAGACACTGCCAACCACAGCCCAGCTGGGAGGGAACCAAGGGAATCAATAAACCAAGTTCCTGTTCATCCCACCTTCTCAATATCCTGCAGGTATTTTCCACTGACTGAAATGAACCAAATGCTAGAGGCTTGATGGGTCAACAATCAGGAGTAGGAGCAGATCTATAAAGCTAAATCTTTTCTCTTGTGGGCGCTTGGATGGGTCTTCAAATTTTCTCCCTTTTCTCTCCCTCACCTTTGCCTAATTTGAGGGGAATCCCCTTGTGCGTTTCCTAGATTAGGGAGAATGTATCCTAATTATAGCTTATTTCTGTCTCTTTTTAAAATGCCGAGCTCTCTAGCTATACGTCAGCTTTCCAGTTCTCAATGTTTATTCCTCTGGGGACATTCTCTCTTTCATGTGGGCCACATCTAGTCCAAGGGAATCACTCATGCATTCTTGGCCCTGAAAAATGCTGAGTGCATGTCAAAATGGAGCAGCACTTCACCTTCAGCCCCACCTTCAAACCAGCATGTCCACCAATCTCCATTCCTTTGTGATTGTCTGGACGAGACTGAGAAACTGATCCCAAACTTTAGGGACACATGTTAGTCTTTCTGAGTGTTCTGCTTAAAGCCCTTCTCTCTTCTCTCAAAGTACAGAAGAAATTACTTTCTCTCATACTGTCCTGTTCTTGCCTTATGGTTTCCATTTCATTTTTTAAAATTATCTTTGAACATTTAAAACATTCTTAGTCTAAACATCCCTTTTAAAATAACCTAGTTATTTTGGTTTAGAATTATCTAGCATTTCGAGAATGGTGGTTTGCGATTTTTGATCATTAATTAAACTTCATTGAAACTTATTTCCGTGGAGAACCCAAGTTATAGAAGTGACTTTACAGAGATGACTTCATATTTGCCTCTGTTAGGTCTAATATGTTACCACCTACAGACTATTTTTATGGTAAATATTTGTTTTGAGATCCCACACCACAAAGTTTATGTGTTTTCACACATGGATGTGGCACAGGAAAGACGTTCAATGTTCCTGCCGTTTGCTTTGTTTCTACCTGTGGCCCCTCAAAGGTGGCAAACTTCCTTGATGCCTTTATGGATCGATAGGTAGAATTTTCCTAATCTTTAGTTATTGTACATAGAAATGTTTTGGGATATCCTGGCTTTAATCGCGTACAACAGGTGCTTAGCTTGAACTCCCCTCCCACATAGAGGATGAGACTTCAGGTCCTGGAATTCTCTTCTAAATCATCTGTAAACCACTTTGGGTTTTCTTGGTTTCAATCTTAGCTCTATAATATGAATATTTTTCCATATTTTATCTGACATTCCTATATGCTTGGATTATATGTGTAGTGGGCGACATACCAACTTAGTGTGACTTATTGACTGGAGGTCAGTAATTTTAGTTTAAAAGGTAATTTTTGTGAGGAATGGGCATTTTTATTTCCATATAATTTTAGCACTTGTAATTTCAGCAATACAATATAGGCTCCATTACATAATTTTTAACTCAATTTAATCCATTAAATAATAGCTCCAAAATTTATAAAGATACTACAAATATATTAAGGAAGGGACTTTTTATTTGCATGTAAGTAGTCAATCACAAAATGTCATATTTCTAGATCTATTATATTCTACAAGTATAGTTACATTGTACTGTAAATAGTGCTTGAAAAAAAATCAATTCTTTCCATTACTCATAACAAAAATTTTAAATAAAGAAAGCCATGACAGTTCGTATTTTGTTTTGATGTAGGAATAATCATTTAGTTCTCTCAAGAAATTGATAGATGTAGTGAAACTTTTATGTACAATATTTGTGGTCTTGTTTTTTCTCATTTATTTGATTATGTAATTTCAAATGCATGAGACATCGGTCTTGAAAATGGATAATCAGGGAAAGCAGCCAGGAATTAAAAAAGAACAGAGTGTGATACATTGGAAAACTACTTGTGAATCACCATCCAATATTTCAAAATTCAAATTAATCCCTAGGTTTGAGAAAATAAATGTAAAAGCAAGAACTTCATTATAACTATGGAAGTGCAACTGAATAGAGAATTTATTCATTAAGGTTATAAATCCCATTACTGGTTTTAAATGCTTCTTTTTTATACTACTAACATTAATGCTGAATGAAGACTGGGCTGCTACGCATTAGACCTGAAAATGCATAATTACATTAATTCTGGTCTAAAGCCTGTGGGTAAGATCTTTTAAGCCATTACGCAGGAATAAACCAAATATTCATGGTGTTGAACATAAGGATTTACATCATTTTCCCATCCATGTCTTGATTAACATCTCAGTTTTGGAGAGAGCTTAGTAAAATATCAATGAGAATTAGATCATTACAAGGAAATAATATAATAGTGGTCTCTTTACAAGAAATAGGAAAATGGCTTCAATTACCAAATGTAATTTTTTTCTCTGCCTGAAGGTCACATGAGGCTTTACTTTATAAAATAATATTAAGATGTAAAAACAACAAACTTTTTTTTCTTTAGAATTTTCTGCTTTATATTTATGGTAATAACTTCTTGAAATCAAAGATAATATTTGATAATTAATGTGCTTTATTAAGATGATAAACAATTATATTTACTATATATTCTTCTTCTGAGAGATGAGGGGAAATTTTCCTTTTGGGGTGTGTGTGTGAGGAAGTAGGTGGATGATGCTTAGGATGGAGAAAGTAGAATTGTTATTGTGGAGATTTTCTTCTCTCTCATGAAACAAACCTCTGGGTCAGAGGTAAACGAGTGAAGGCAATCAGGTTTAGTGCTTATTTTGCCTCCTGTTCCTACATCTTCAAACCACTTTATTTTGGATCCCCTCCCCCACAAAAAAAAATCACAGCAAAATCTAATTTTCTAGATTTGCTTTCTGGGTTGCACAATTTATTGGACACTTTTTTTACTATTCTTGTTGACTGTTCATCCTTTTTCAACAAAGTAGAAACGCCCTCTGGCCTTGGTTTCATTGACTCCATACTGTCTTCAGGTTTCTTTTTCTCACTCTGAATTCTCATTCTCTGTCCTTAATTTTCAATTTCATTGTTGATTAAAGGCCTGACCTAAATCAACAATGAGGTATTACCTTTTTCTGTATAATTCACCACTCTTTTAAACCATAGGAGAAAAATATTATCTTAATAGATACAGAAAAATAATTTCATATGGTTCAGAAATAATTATAACAAAAACATTCAGAAATCTAGGAGTACAGGCAATAATCTTTAATTTCATGCAAGTGAAACACATATCTCTCATAGCTGATAAATCAGTCTAAAAAGTTATTAAGAATATAAACAGTACTAACAAAAAATAATGTAAACCTCATATGTAGTTTATATCAAAAATTTAAATTACTCATATGTAATTTAAAAATTTCTGGTAGCCACATTTAAAAAGTAAAATGAAACAGATGAAATTAAACAATACATTTTTTTTTTTTTTTAAGGAAGATTAACCCTGAGTTAACATCCTGCCTGAGCTAACGTCCGTGACCATCTTCCTCTACTTTATATATGGGATGCCTGCCACAGCATGGCTTGGTAAGCTGTGCATAAGTCTGCACCTGGCATCCAAACCGGTGAACCCTGGGCCGCTGAAGCCAAATGTCTGAACTTAACCACTGCACCACCAGGCTGGCCCCAATAACACATGTCTAAGTAACTCATGTGTCAAAGAAAAAAAATCACCAAAATAAATGTAAAATACTTCAAACTGAATGACAATGAGAAAGTAACATATCAAAATCTGTTGAATGCAGTTAGATCAATCATTAGAGGGAAACTTACAGTGGCATATACACCTTGGTATATATGTCTCCTCTCAACAACAATAAAAAATGTAAAAAAGAAATAGAAGGGTTCTGTCTTAAGTGAAACAGACTCAAAGGTATGTATATAATACATCAATAAAAATGTACAAAGGAAGAGAGAGTCAAGAAATATAACACCCAAATGTAATGCTCATTTTTTATTAGATTTATTTTTTAAAAATGGGGATACATTGTGGAAGTTTGAGTATAAACTGAATATTGGATTATATTAGGAAAATTTAATTTTTTTATGTGTGATATTATATTAGTATATTATAATACAGGAGAATATAGATGCACGTTGAAGTGTCAAGTATCTGTAATTTTCTTTGAAATGGTTTAAGAAACATATAGGTGTGCACATCTGTATCTGTATTTCTATCTATATATCTATCATAGAGATAGATACAGAGAGAGACAAAAGAGAAGAATGAGAGATGTATGGTACAATGTTAACAATTGTTGAATATGGGGTTTGATGGTACTACTCTTTCTACTTTCGTTTGGTTTAAAATTTTTTCTAATAAACAGTTTTATTGTAACACATTTTATAATATCAAAAAGTGTTATAAACAAATACGATTATATTTATTATATATTGGGTTCCTGGAGAAATCTGAGGTATTCTTTAGTTTGTCATGGTTTGTGGAGCAAAGTGGCTAGGTGGGGCTCTGTGATAAGTTTCAGCACCAAGGAGAGGCTCTGAAATACTGGAGCTTGACTTCCATCTGATCCTTGGAAAGTTGCACAGCGTGGTGTTGCATGAGATCTGGCCCAGACACAGCTCCCTGTGTCAGCATAGGGTGCAGCTGAACTTTGCACTAGCATGGCTTTCTAAATTTTGTTCAGATTTTCTCAGTCAGCTGAAAGATTATTTTATATAAAAGGGAAAAAACACCTTGCCTCACATCTTACCAAACCGACTTAGGGGATATTAAAATCTTTGGCAAGTTCAGCTCTATTCAAAAGCAGTATGAAAAACAGTCGAGTCATCCTTAAAGAATAGCATCTAAATAAATAGTCATCAGAAATATAAAGCCAAGAGGAAAGCCAGGAAAAGTTGAAGAGCACCAACCTACATCTTACAGAGAACATAAATTCCTGAAATCAGGAGCTTGACATAGACAGATCCAAGGCTGAGAGCAAGATGAGCTCCTGGCTTTAATGGTAAGAATGATCCAGCTGCTAGCCAGTGAATCTAGAGTTAGCTCATCCCAATTAGCTTTTCCAAAGAGTGTTTGAACTTCTTAAGATGAACCTTATCTGAAAGCAAAGCTTTTCTTTTCCTTCAGTCTGGCTTTTACCTCTGTTGTCTGTCTTCCTTCTTCCTGCTCCATCTGAGAGTCACTATTGCTCGTGGGTCTAAGGACAGAGAATGACAGGAAGTCTTCTGTTTCTCCATGGGCTTTATTTTCCCATCAATTTCCGATCCTGAAAATAGAAGAGATTTTCTTCAAGTTTAATTCAACCTTTAAATAAACCAACTGTTTGAACTTCCAGAATCACACCAAAATATCTTTGGATTTTTTTTCTCTCTCACCAAAATGTTTTTATTATTTCTTTTTTATTATCACTTTCAAGAATTATATTATCAGTTTCAGAATCAGTGACTACTTAAGATACTACCCATTTGTTCAAATTAAACGTGGCTGAACTAGTTTTTAGAAAAGCTTTTGGTAAATATTATCAAGAATTGAATCTTATATGTGAGTTGTTTATTTTTTTACTTTAATTACAGTTACTACTCCATTATAATATCAATATTTTTTGGATTATTATGGGTGTGGTTTATCAATAGACAGGTAAAAAGCAAAAATAATTTTGATTTAACTAGAGTTATTTACTATAGATCTATGACAAATGTAAACGCAACTTGATTTTTCCTTTAATAGTGATTAGTTGTAAAAATATAACAATGAAAATATCCCTTATAACTATGAGATGCAGCTGAAGCTATATGCACTTTTAAAGGGTAGTTTATAGGATAAACCATTTCTATTAAAAAAGAATAAAGACTAAAATTTATTGACTACATGTCTTGCCCAGCCCAGGAAAGTGAAAAATGGGAGCAAACCTAAATTAAGTGAGAAGAAGGAAAATAAAAGTAAGAGGAGAAGTCAATCAGATATAAGGCAAAAGATTCAAGAGAAGATCGTTAAGAGACAAAAGTTGTTTCTTGGAAAGACTTAAAGACAAAACTTAATTGAGAATTTTTGTTTTTAAACCAGAGGAAGGCACAAACAATATTTGGAAAGATAAGTGGGAACTAACTAGAGAAATAGCAGATTTAAAAGATGTAATAAAACATCATTACAATTTTATTCACATAAACTTAAATATCTAGAAAAAATAAACACAGAGACATGAATAGATCTCGGGAAAAGATTATTGAATGAAAAAACTGTTTAAAAGATGAGATTTGTGGCACAGCCTCATTTAGTTACATTAGAAACATACACCTAAAGCACCGTTATGTAGTTTGCAAGAGTATGTGCCTTGCTTTTTAAAATTAACTTTATTGAGCTATAATTCATAAACAACAATACCCATCACCTCTTTTAAGTTGCACAGTTTCATATGTTTGACAAATATACACAACTACTAAAATCAAGATATAGAACATTTCAATTATTCCAAAATATTTCCTTAAGCCTCTTTGCCGCAAATTTTGTCTCAGTCCAGCCGCAGGCAATCACTGATCTGCTTTCAGTCTCTAAAGATTAATTTTGCTCATTCCAATATTTTATGTAAGTGGGATTATAGTTTGCACACTTTCGTGGCTGATTCTTTTGCTCAACACAATGTATTTGGGATTTACCCATGCTGCTGCCTGCATCACTGCTTTTGTTCCTTTTTATTGCAGTGTAGAGGATAATTCCTATTATTTATCCATTTACCTGTTGATAGGTATTTGACTTGTTTCCAAATTCATGGCTATGATGTACACAGCTACAATGAACATTCTTACAGCAGTTTTTGCGTAGACAGCTTTCAACTACCTGGAAAGTGGAATTTCTGGGTCATATGCTGAATGCACATTTAATTTAATTTTTTAAAAACCTGCTAAATAATTCTTGGAATTGGTTGTACTTTTTTCCACTCCCAGTGGCAATGATGAGAGTTTAAGTTCTTCCACATCCTTGCCAATTATTGGTACTGTCAGTTTTTACTTTGACCCATTTTGTTGGGTATGTTGCATTCTTTCTTTGAGGTTTTAATTGGCATTCCTCTGATGATTCATGAAGGTCAAGCTCTTTTATATGCCTAGTGGCCATTTGTACATTTTCTTTTGTGAAATGACCATTCAAAGTTTTTGTTCTGATTCATTTAATCAGGATGTTTTTCTTCTTATCTTTGCATTGTAAGCAGTTTTTGTGTGTTCTACATATGAGTCATTTGTCACATGTACGTGGTGGAGATACTTTCCCTCAGTTTGTGGCTGTTTCATTTTCTTAATGGTGCCTTTCACCAAGCAGACACTATCAATTTGATGAAGTCTAATTCATTAATTTCCCCTTTGTTATTTGTTTTGCTGTGACATCTGAGAAATCTTTGCATAGCTCCAAATCCCAGAATTTTCACTCATATTCTCCTAGTAGTTTTCAATTTTGAGTTAATTTTTGATGTATGAGATGAGGCAAACATACAGGTCCATTTTCCCCGTATATATGACTTCCAGCATCATTTGTGGAAAATGCTATGCTTTCTCCATTGATTCACTTTGGAATCCATATCAAAATTCAATTAACCATATACTTATGGACTGGCTTTCCGTCTCTCTATTTTGTGTCATTGATCTATATAGCTATCTTTCTACAAATATTCTATTGTTTTGATTAATGTAGCTTTATATTATATCTTGAAAATAGGTTGAATAAACTCTCCGTCTTCTAATTTTTCAAAATTAGTTTGGCTATGTTGGTCATTTATATTTTTATTTAAATTTTTACATAAAATCTTCTTGAGATTTTGAACTGGTTGTGCTGAATCTATAGGTTAGTTTGAGCAAAATTGACATCTTAACAATTTTGAAACTTCCAGTCTACAAATGTGATAGGCTCTCCATTGATTTAGGCATTAATTTCTCCCAGCGAAATTTTGTAGTTGTCATGTGTCTTGCAAATAGTTTGTAACATTTATTCCTAAATAATTTATGATGTTCATACAATTGTAAAAGACATTGCTTTTTAAATTTCTTCTTCCAATTATTTGTCAATAGTATATAGAAATATAATTGATTTTCGTATAATAATCTTATATCTCAAAATTTTACTAACTTCATGTATTAATTCTAGTAGCTGTTTTGTGGATTCTTTTGAATTTTCTACATGTATAACTATACAGTCTGCAGATGATTTTACCTAGACCTTTCCAGCTTATGTGTTTTTATTTTTCTTGACTTATTTACCAGCTGTATCTTCCAGTACTGTGTTGAATGGAAATGGTAAAAGAGGAAGCTACTGTTTTGTTCCCAACCCTGGGGAGAAAGTGTTCACTATTTCAGATTAGGAATGATGTCAACCATAAGTTTTTGTTAGGTGCTGTTAATCATATTGAGTAATTACTTTTCTAATCCTAGTTGGCTGATACTTTTTATTACGAATGTGTGTTGATATTTTCCAAATGCCTTCTTGAAATCTAACGAGATTAGCATATGATATTTTTTCCCATTATCCCATCAATATAGTGAACTGCAGAGTTTGAGTTTTGAATGTTAAAGAGGCTTAGCATTTGTAGGATAAACTGCACTTGGTTGTGACATAGAATGTTTTTCAAATATAAGTAAATTTGATTTGTTAACATTTTTTAAGGATATTTACATCTACATTTTTATGGGTTTACAAGTGATTTTGGTCTTTATTTTCTTTACTTTCAATATCTTTAACTGGATTTCATACGATAATAATACCACTTCATAAAAGGAGTTGAGAAGTGTTTCTACCATCTCTATTCCAAAAACGGTTTGTGTTTTTTGGTATTATTTCATCTTTAAATGTTTGATAAAATTCATCAGCAAAACCACCTGACTCTGAAGAAATTATATGTTTATATATCATATCATATAAAACAAAATACAGAGAATTTCAGTTTGTTTGATATTGTATCAATTTTAGTAGCTTTTTCTTTCAAGGGATTTGTCTGTTTCACCTACGTTGTCCAAATTATTGTCATAAGGTTGTTATGAACACTCTATTTGTTTTTGATGTTGATAGCATCTGTAAGGATATTCTCTTTTTAAGTATTGATATTGGTAATTAATATCTTCTATCTTTTTTATTTACTTTAAGTAGTGATTTATGATTGTATTCATCTTTTAAAAAATATTAGATTTCATTGATTTCTGTATTGTTTTTAATTAATTGTTTTTCATCCTACTTTACTTTCTACACTTTTTAGACTTTATTGACTCATATTTTTCTAGCTTCTTATGGTAGAAATTTAGATAGTTTTAGGTTTTCTTTCTTTTCTACTATAAAATGTTTAAAATTATATATATTTCTCCTAGCACTGCTTTAGTTACAGCAAGCAAACTTCTGTGTTTCACTGTTATGTCTTCTTGTTGAATTAATGCTTTTATCACTATGAATGTTTGTCTTTATGTCTGATAATATTTCTTGTTCTGAAGTCTGCTTTGTCTGTAGTTAATGTAGTCACTCCTGATTTCCTATGATTAATATTCATATGACAAAATTTTCTATCCTTTTAATTTTAACCTGTCAGCATCATTAAAATTACTATTTCCATCAAATATGTTTCTCCATTATTTTGTCATCATATTTCTGTTTTAAGTGGTCTTATACACCACATGTAGTTGAGTCTTGCAATTTTACCCAGTCCGGTAATCTCTGCCTTTTAAATGAAGTTTTCAAACCATTTACATTTAATATAGTTATCAATATGGTTAGTTTTAGTTCTACCATCATGCTGTTAATCTCTGATTTCTATTATTTGCACTTTCCTTTTCTTCCTTTTCTGTCTTCTTTTGGACTATCTGTTATTTAATTTCACATCTGCAAAAGGCTTATTAGCTATAACCTCTCTGTTTTATTTTTTGTTGGTTATTTTAGAGTTTACAATGTACATATTGAACATATTGCAATCTATTTTCATAATAATGATATTAAGATTTGTATATAATTCAATATCCTTGCAATGATGTATTTCCACTTATTGTCACATATTCTGCTTCTGTATATGTTTTGAAACCCAGACTCACACCATATTATTTTTATGTATTTTATATTTATATTATTTTTATATTTTTATTATTATTTTGATTTTAATCAGTTAATTATCTTTTAAACAAATATGAAAATGACAAAACATTGTTCTTATTTACCCAGATAGTTATAATTTCCAGTAATATATGTTTCTTTGCATACATCCAAGTTTTCATTTGATATCATTTCCTTCATTCAGAAGAAATTCTT